GTTGGATACAAAATCACCAAAACGATTGCAGAAACGTTTCAGAAAACGTTGCACCAAAGCGTTGCAGAAACGTTGTGAAAAAAAACTTTTGATCGAAGAGAGCATATTACTGCATGCACCCAAGTTTTGTGATTTCTGGATACATTTGAGACGCCAGAATTTATCAAAAGCAACCTCAAAGTCCACAAACACAGCCAAAACAAAGCACCTCTGATCGAGAACGTCCTTTATGGACTGACTCAGCAAGATAACTCGTCGGTTTGTGGATATCTATTATCTAAATATGGCCTGAGTTGGAGATATAAGATTATTAGTCTCGAGAAACCAACTCAGACGAGATGTAATCATTCTTTCCGTGACCTTGAATAAAACGCTAGTTAAAAAAATGAGTGAATCAAGTAAGTTATATCTTATCTTCCAATATTAAGCAAAATTAACATTCCTGTAGGTTGTTTTCCTTTCAACCTCCGATCCCACAGTATGATGGACAGGCATGCGGCAGGTGGTTGGTGTACGTAGTAGACGACTGCGCATCTCATCCTCCACACGCTCTGTCACTGGTGACTTCAACATGTCATTTTCTTTTGAGTTGCAGTCACGTAAACATGGCTGTCGCTATTGATTCTCCCGCCAAGTGTGAATTACGAGCTGTTATTCGTTTCTTGCAGGCAGAAGGTAACAGCGCAGCGGAAATTCCTCAAAGAATGAGTAGAGTGTATGAAGACAGCTTCATGAGTGATCGTGTTGTTCGTGAATGATGTCAAAAGTTTAAAGATGGCCGAACTGATGTGCATGATGAAGGGGGTCAAGGACGCAAGTCTGTCGCTACAGACGACATTGTTCAACAAGTTGACCAAGCGGTTAAGGAAAATCGAAGGTTCACCATAAGTGAATTATCGATGAAATTTCCAGAAGTTTCAAGATCTTCCTTGTACTCTATCCTTACTGAACAGTTGCGCTACAGAAAGGTTTGCGCTCCCACAGATGTTGACTGACGACCACAAAACTCGCCGAATGGCTGCAGCGTTGGAGTTTCTTGACCATTAAAATACTGATGGAGAAGATTTTTTGAAATCCATTGTGACAGGTGATGAGACATGGATTCAATATGACACGCCCGAAACGAAACGACAATCACAACAATGGATGCACAAAAATCTCCAAAGAGACACATTCAAACGAACCTTCAACAACCGTAAGGTTATGGCAACTGTTTTTTGGGACCAAACAGATGTGTTGCTTGTGGAGTTTATGCAGCTTGGAGCAACAATTAATGAAGATTCATACTGTGAAACTTTGCGACGCTTACGGAGAGCTATTCAAAACAAACGAAGAGGCATGCTGACTTCTGAAATTGTTCTGATATACGATAACGCCCGTCCTCACAGCGCTCGTGTAACCCAATGGCGCCTTCAGCAATTTCAATAGGACATTTTCGAACATCCACCATATAGTCGCGACCTAGCGCCGAGTGATTTTTCATCTTTTCCCTGAACTGAAGCACTAGCTTGGGAATCAGCGCTTCCAAAATGGAGCTCAAAGAAACCGTCACAACTCACTTCCAATCATTGGCGGGAGCATTTTATGAAGAGGGTACTGCAAAGCTTGTTCACAGATATGACAAATCCCTCAATCGTCAAGGTGATTATGTAGAAAAATAACCTGTATTGTACATTACGTTTCGTAATAAAATCTTTTTTGTACATTCACTCGTCTTTTCCTTAGAGCCCATCGGAGGTTGAAAAAAAATAGCTAGCGTATTAGAGGATTATTAAGCTATAAAATATAAAATTTTTTTAACTATTATGATACCTTTATAAATTATTTTTATTTGTATCTTCATTACGATTTTAAAACTAATTATTGATAGTTAATATATTTTATTTTTAAATATAATGATGTCTCAAGTTTAAATTAAAAAGCTCTTTATAATTGTTGGTTTTTTTTTTTTTTAATAATTTTTGCGAGAGGTAAAATAATGAATCTGTTTAAATAACAGTTCATGGATCAGTATAAGAATAAATGTTCACTGTGTCTTTCAAATTCATTCATTACTTATTACTACTAAATTATTAAATGATTAAAATGTTTAACAATTAGAAAGGTGTGAATTTTAAAAATCGATTACGATCATTTCACATATAAAAAATTAGGCTTACTAATAGTAATGAGTTATATAAATATTAGTAGATTTCAAACTCTGTTATTTAATTGAAATCATATCTGCCTACAAAATGTTTTTCTACATAATTTATAACTGTTAATTTATTTTTAGGTACTAAGATTTCTTAGCAAGATGATAAAGCTACTGTGACTGTTATTATATTGAAGTGTAACAATATTATAAGACTGATGGTTTTTTCATGAAATAACATTTTTTCATCTATTAGTATAAAAAACACAATGTTTATCTGCAAACTTTAAAAAAAAATACAAGAATTAACTATTTATAACATAGTTTATCAATTATATATTGCAAATGAGGTGTTGCTTGTTATTACAGTTTTCTGTTATCTTGTTAGATGTATACATACAAACCTGCACCTACTACATATGACATTTTAATAAGCCAGAAGGTTAAAACGCTGGTTGGGCATTTATCCTCTTTTGCAAAAGTGCTGATAGCCTCATATTTTGCAATATGATTTGACATTCATATGTGCAAATAATATGTAAATTTATATGTCGGTGTCTTTTATGTAAATTTATGTGTCTTAATATGTAAATTTATATGTCGGTGTCCATTTGCATAGATAGAGAAAAATTTAAAAATTTAGAGAAACTGGAGAATTCAACCATTTTCTTTTCGGAACTCACACCTCAGATCTTCCTGTTGCCAGTTGAAAATGTGAATCATTTACACCACGAGAGTATGCATGGGGGGAATTCGATAACTCTTTACATTTTCTCTACTTAAAGGGTCAATGGGGAAAGCCATTAGCTTTATTGGACCAAATCTGACATTTTAGTTCGGGTGCTAGTTACATTTTTTGTCGTATGCGTAATGTGAAAAATCAATTGACTTATGACGGAATTAAAACCACAGATCTCTCTCATTTGCCAGTTGGATGGAATAACTACTCATACCATGTATAGAGAGATGCAATAATGCCTTGAAACTATTAATATATAAGATCACACGAACAATATGTCATACAAAAAATGTCCTTGAAGTAGCTTATATAGAATAAGCCAGTCGCATATATTATCAATTTGAATTCATCGGACTTAGATCCTGTGCAGTTATAAATACGTCAAATAATGCCAGATTAATATACATTAATAGCCTAATTGCTGATTGTATATATCGTTTCATTAAATTATACATAATTGTCATAATTTCAGGTATTTATCGTTTTTTGTTTGTGGATCATATCACTAGTCCATAGCAAATGAATTTTGTCTGCCACTCAGTCAGCTTACTGCTAGTAGAGCAATTTCTCATGTTACGTGGAAGGACGGTGCTTGTAAATTTTTGCAGTTTATTCTAAAATGCAATCTCTAGAAAAATTTGCAAAAATTGCACTGCTACTACGAACTTTTGTCACAGTTATTGCAAGCGCTGCTGGTTATGAGAAGTATTTTCTAAACAAAAATCATTTAAAAAGTATTGTAGGAAAAAAATGCTTTTTTTTTTTTTTTTTTTTTTTTTTTGCATGTAAAAAGCATTTAAAAAACTGTAAATGTTTACGCATTTGAGAAATCCGTCTTTCTGCCTACGTTATAGAAACTGGAGCAATCAAGTGGACTTCTACGATATCATCAAGGGTTTTGAGAACAAAAAAAAAAAAAAAAAAAAAAAAAAAAAAGAGCTATAGTTTTAATTTCCCTATATGCTATTTCTAGCCCAAACGGCGTTAGCCCAGAAGGTCTATATATTTCGTTTCGGCAATTTGCGGCGTCTCACTGTAAACGATGTTTCACCTTTTCGAATTGTTGCCACCAAATATCTAATATTTAAAGAATTTAACTTAAATATAAACCCTGCAATATATTTAAAGAAATTAAATTATGAAGAATCTGCATGAATGTTTCTCGCATTGTAAAAAAACAAAGGCACCTAGAGACATCAAATTTTGAATAACATAGTCCTTCATTCGAATATGATCATTTGGAATTTGGCATTTGTTTTATTATCTATTTCATATTTTGTAAAATTTTAAAGAATATTTTATTAACAAACTCAACAATTTCAAAGCGAACAATAGCAACACTGTACGGAAAAAAAAAAAAAAAATCTCTAGCACGGTAGACTGTGTATCGGAAATCCTAAAGATATTATGTTATTTTTAAATTATTTTACGATATTATTGCTGTTGAACTGAATTTTTTGTTTGTTTTTAAATTTGAATTTTTTTTTTTTTTTTTAAGCTATTTGTTTGTATATCAAGAAGGGCGGTAAATTCAGGGCCGCTCCGAGCGGCAAAATAATCTCTAGCTATGTTACTGACCTATTCACAGCGAGAAACGCGCTTTAAATAAATATTCCTAGAGCTTTAGCCGCGCCGTATTAATTACGTCACTTGTGTTCCATGATTGGTCTAAGCTGCCTGAAGACTTGCTCTCTCTCAATAAAGTTAAATGGACTCGGCCCCGCGTATCAACCGAGGAATACAGAATGGTTTTCTGTCTTTTTTTGAGTCAATACTGTATGCGCTAAAGTAGATAATCCAGTGATCATAGAATAGGCATTTTGCCACATTTGGCAAAGAGCCATATTTGGCTCGCGAGCCACAGTTTGCCGACCACTGCCCTAGATGTATAGCATTACATCGTGATATAGTTATAAAATTGTTATTTCGCTGTAAGTTGTTATAAATAGTACGAAAGTTAATATATTTTAAGTTTTGAATTTACAAAATACAATTCATAAAGATAGTTAAATGACAAAAATTTATGTATACCGAATTTGATTTATTAGTGTTGGCTGGGTTTTACAGCTGAGCTGCTAAATAAAACTGACATTCATTTATGTTTTTTTATTTATTTATTTTTTCCAGATTCCTTCATCCTCATCAAATGGAAAAGATCTTTCAACTGTCATTATTATTCTAATACTGATATTTATTTATGTACTTCAATAAAATATAAAAGCAATAAAGTATAATATTTTTGGCCCTTGAATACTTTATTAACTCATAAAAAATAAATAATAAAAGTACCAAGAAGCATCTGGCATCCAGAAATTAAACAGAAGATGTACTTTATTTGCAAAACATGATATTATTTTTCAGTTAGTAATTTAGTGCATGGATTATGTTCTAAATGCCGTTACATAAATGCTTTGCATGCTACCCAAAGCCATAAAACTGTGCTTGCTACCCAAAGCCATAAAAATGTGATAAATATGAACGTTAAAAGATCATGAAGAATCTATGATATGGGAATATCAGTTTTTTAATTTTAGTTAAATTTAATATTCTGATAGAAGAGGATTAGCGTATAGTGTTGTTAATTTCTCCGGCATGATTAGAAACTGAAAGCTTTAAAATAAAGCGTCCATATGGGGAAATTATGAAATTAATAATTAGAGAGTCTCGCTTTTTACTGCCTTGGAGGAAATAAAGGAAGTACTGTAATAGCAAAAACTTTCGGGTATCGTATTTCAACGAAAATATTCATTTTTACCATTCCCGAGGCTTAAATGGACTAATTTCTTTCTTTCATAACTAATGATCTAACTATAACAAAATAATAATTTAGTCCTTACTTGGAAAAAAGACGAAACACTCTCACTTAATTGTGTTATTGTTGATTGATAGTAGATTAGTTTGTTCCCCTTGACAAGACAATTAATCTATACTCAAACACATTAACTACCTTTCAGTACTTAAAATTTTTACTCTAGAATTTGGTATTTTTGCGATTCAGAATTTTTCTTTACAGATCTTATATAATTTTTACTGCAATAGAGGACTAGATTATACTGATTTAAAATGCTAATTAGAATACAGACCAAAAAATTTTTCTTATAATAATTCATGGCTTTGATGGAATTTCTATTCCTTGGAGATAATATATGAAAACTTTTTCTAATAATAAATTATATTCGTATTTATATGGAATCGTGCCGCAACGACGCACCAGAGGGCGCAACCTACACCGACGGTAGGAACCCTCCAAGTAAAAGCATGGAGATAGGAAAGGGAGGAGAGGCCATTCCGCGCTAGAAGTGAAGCACTGCTTTGAAGCTTGGGTCACCAGACGGGGTGTTCTTTGTTTACATTCAGAAGCTCGCTTGACAAGATTCTGATAGTATTTCGACACACGACAGTTCCATAGAAATCGAAAAAGGGACACTCTCGCATGAAAGAAACATTCATAGTGTGATGGATAATAGCAATTTGTATAGTTTACTGACATTTACGCAAAAATCACATCTTTGTTATTTTTCGATAACTAACAACAGCGATTTTGATTATGAATTTGTTTTATAAAATTCTAAGCTGTTGCACTACAAAAATATAGATTTTAAGAAAATTGCTAAAAGAGATCTGCCAAAATTTATTTTCTAGAAGATTTGAAAAGTTTGAAACTTGATGGCTAAATGTAAATATAAAATTATGTATGTTAAAATATTTGTAATTAGGCACATAGGTCAGATTAAGTTTTTATTAAATAGAGTAACGCATGCAAGGGCTATCTGCCTAAAGAGAGAGATGCCATCGTGGAGGAATTTTGAAGAAAAACTGACCTTTGAGTGAGTATTAAAAATAATACTTATAATTTTCATTCAAATTATATTCATATATATTTTTTATGTAAAACTTTCGGGTGTATGCTAAATTAGTGTAAATTACTTTACACGAAAAATATAGTGAATGCACAGAAATTAAAGATTTGCACATGCCGGAAATGATAAATAGGAAATGTGTATGGGTATTTATGCATGTGCTTGCAAAAAGCATGTATCTGCCTTTCACAAAATACTTAAATATTCATTAAATTATTTATAAATGTATTTGAAATGAAGAATTTATTCACTTATAAACAACTGTGAAAGTACTGCGAAGAAATCTAATGATTAAATTTATCTAATTTATAATAATTATAAATGTTATCTAAATATATAATAACCTTAATATTGAATTGTAAACATAAATTGAAATCCTGTTGACAAATACGTTATAAAACTATTTAACCAAGAATTGTTCGTATTGGAAAGCAATCTGTTAAAAGGTATTGTAAAGCAAATGCTATGAGATGCGCGCTTAAGAACGTAATAAAGTGTTTTGGAATATGTATTGTTGAAATGAAGGTTAAAAAAGAAAAAAAAATCTGATAAGTATGATTAAAATAATTATTCCCTTTACATTTTATAATAACTCAGTTACAAGTTTTAAATAATACTTAAAAAAAAAACTTATTTTATTCCCTTTCAGAAATGTTCAGAGAAAGTCAAATACTATTTAATACCTATTTAATTATTAGGAATTACCGAAATACTTAAAATGAACCGAATAGAGCATTAATTATAAATTGACTTACATTTTTCGATTTAAAAGAAGCCAAAAAATCATGTCATATTTAAGAAAGTATTTTAGGAAGAAGCTCTATAAATAGAATAGAAATAATGCATAATTTTAATATTAATAATACAATAAACTTTGATCTTAATTTTTGTACCTTAACCGAATAAAATCGAATTACCTTAATTTTTTTTCTAATGTAATTAACGAAAACTTGTGAAAATATTTCATTCAAATTAAACCATTCTGAGAAAACTGTCCTGTGAAAAGTATAGCATTTAATTCCGTTCAGAATGAAATGTTGTTTAAAAATATGTTGTTTTCACATACTTAGGACTCTGAAGTGTTGTAGAAAAAGAATATATACATTTATATGTATATTTGCGACGTAATTACAAAATATTTACACCCGAACGCGTCAAATCCCATAGAACTCAATGGTAAATGACCCAATGTTTTGGTCATCACGTAGGCATCGCCGGTGCTTCAGAGCAGGGTACGGAGAAACTTGTTTAGGGCGACTCCATCTTACTTCCTACCTCCATGAGTAAAAGCCCGGTCACACAAGCAAAGAAGTCCAAGAGAAGCCCAAAAGAGTCTAGAAGAAGTCTAGAATTCCAAGAGAAGCCCGGTCACACATGCAAAGAATCTCTCTCTCCTTAGAGATTCTTTGTCACAAGTACGCTCGCGACGTAGTTGCCACTATTTTTTTTTTTTTTTCCTTCCGCCGGCGTAAATTCGCATTACTCAGAAGACGTAAACCTGAATTCGCTCGTGTTCAGCTTTTTCGTCCGCGAACGTGAACGAACAGCCAATAGCTGACTGAGCTCTTATCACGTGTCATAATCAGAAAAACTTCTTGTTTACAATACTCCGTCCGAACGACATAGCGGCGCATAGCGACAAGTATGCACAGGAATGAAATCATCAGCATTGTTTACGGCATTTTCAGTTCTCTTAAACCAATATTGGTAAAAATGTCAAATTCTCATTAAAGGGGAAAAAATGTATTTATAAAGCAACGATCCGACCAGGATATCCATATGCTTCACCTGTATGTAAAACCGCAAGCAATAGGTACCTAAATAAATTACAATTTCTACGAAATCAAATTCTCTGTCTTACAAAATTCTCCTTAATTATTACAAACGTTCATTATTTCATGTGTAACAAGAAGCGGTGTAAGTATTTCATACATGAAATACATGAAATACATAAAAATGTAACTTCAACAAAATTGCAACTTCTAAAATAAAGCAACTAACTGTGAAAGAGTATTCAATAAGCAACTGACTGTGCAAGGGTATTCAATAAATACAGCTATGAAATTTTCGAAGACAGTTACAACCTGTGTCATACAACACTCATTTATTGAATATTAATTAAATTGCCTTTGTAGTGATTTCTGTTTATTTTATCATTTTGTCTCGAATGAATGTTACAGGTAGCTGATTGCCTGAATTGTAAAGGTTATTAGTTCGAACCTCTCTCGTAACCATTTTATCACTAGTTTTATTATTTTGAAAACGTAATCATGAATCATTTTATTTTTATTTTATCTATTATTATTATTGTTTTCAATTTATTTTAAAAATGTGCATAGAAACCATAATTACCATTAACACATTATGTAATGAATCTCTTGTATAAATTACCTCTTTATTTTTATTTTGTTGTAACTTTATTCCTTTATTCTGTATATAATTTTGCACAAACTGTCCAAAATTTGAACCTCATTCTAAATTCAAAAATAAATAAATAAAAAATATATGTTCTAATAATAAAATTATTTACACATTAATTTCGCAGCATCAAAGCCATCAATCAGCGTCGAATTGGTAATAAATATTCTGTTTTAAACTTGCGAAGACATTTAGTGCCAATGAGAAACAATACAAAACACAGTAAAACAAGTAATGAATTTAATCACTGAATGTTTGGAATAAAGAATATTATTACTAGAATTATCAGAAAATTCTAATATGACTTAAATTTTCCAACTATCCCCTGAATATGTTGTGTATTTATCAAGAGAAAAATATCTAACCTCTCATCAGAAAACTTTTAATACAATAAATGCAAATTAAAGCCATTATTCCCATCTGATATTCACAGGGCATAAATAATTTAGCGGAGTTGTGTTTTACTTTAATTACAAGCATATTACTATCATATAAAAATATTATTTAAAACATTAATACAGAAATTATAGCCTTTCGATTTATAGAAATGAGCTGTCACTTAGAAGCACTAAAAATCAAAATGTAATAGTTTCATATTTTTATGTATTTACATAAAAGGGCATATTTACATTTTTTTTAAAGAAAAATCACTTTATTTTAATCTTTTCCCGTGAATGCAATTTTCTCTAAAGTCCATTAAATTTAAATTTGCAATTTATCCATTAAATTTAATTAATCCATTAGATTTAAATTTGCATAATTTGATTATTCCCTATATATTATTGCACATATAAAATAGTAATCAAATTATAAAACGCTTTACTTATTACACAGATTCTTTCACACGTACACTGCGGGGAAAAAAGGGGGAGGACAGTATTATAGCTCCCTTTCTACTGGGCCGATTGACGAATTTCAAATTGCATTTTTCATGTCTCGAAAGCGCGACATAGGATGTATATTAGATTTATAT